GAAAAGGAACAGTTGCCTGCTCAAAAATAGCCTCACTGTGAACCACACAAAGCCCACTGTCATCATCAATGGTGTTGTCTTTCATTATATTGACAGTTAGAAACTCTGTTTCATTTCCATTAAGGCAGTGTGTAAACCAGTGCTGGATCCTTGCCACCTCAGCTTGCTCCCCTATTTTGACCCTAACAATGGAAGAAACTGTGTGCTCATCTTTCTCAATGAGCTGAGATCTCCATATCCAGCACTTTCCCCCTGGTCGCAGTGATTTATTATGAGAGAGGAATTTATGTGTTAAGGGCCCTGTTTCATCAATTGGTACTTTGATGTTGTAGTACGTTTCCATGGCTTCCACTTCACTGTAGGTGGGTAGATATTGCACTCTCTCTCCTACGAAGGGTTCAGCATTTTCTCCAACAGTCAGCAACATGTCAGCAGGAAGAGACCCAGAAGACTTCATAAACTGCACCCAATCATACAACTAAATATTAAGAATACAAAAATACCAAAATGTCATTAATAATACAAGAGATATTTTAATATACTGTAAATTGTTTGACAAGATATATGTTATGTGAAACAGCTCAAGTCCTGCCTCTGCTATCTTATTCCGCTGACTCCAGCACAGACGCAAACCTGCTCTCTTCATTTTTGTGCTAAGCTATATCACTAGTGAGATGTAAAACCAAACGATTTCAAAGAGGCCTTATTCCAGTGGTGTGCATTCACGTGCACTGCACTGCTTGTATTTATAATATTAATAACTGAGACATTTTTATACTATTCAAATCATACTATTATATCGAAATGTACTTTAATAATTTAACATTTTAAATGTATTTTATCATTATCAGCAGCCCATAGAAACAATGTATATATTTCTAATCTTTTCAATTATACTGTTGTTAGTAAGTATGCAATTCGCTTTTAGGCACAATCTGCAAATAAAGCATTGTCATTTTTTAATTTATGATTATGTCTAACTTTGGCTTAATCAGCACTTACTCTGTATGTCTCCATTATAGTCGCTTCAGGAAAGCGGTGATTCTTTACTCTTTGGCATATCCAGCTGTTGAAGCGCTCATAGCAATACATCCACCAACTGTTTAATACGTTTCAGTACCCCTGGTCCCCCTTTCAAAGTTGGGAAATGATAAAATGCACTCATGCTTTAGATGGGTGCTTTTTGTCAAAACTGCATAGGGGTGGAGAGGGGCAAAATGTACATGTGCATAGATATCTTTTGTTCTCGATTGTTTCACCTGCCAAATTTGATGAAAAGACAGAAGGAATATATCTTTCTACATCACAATGTTTTTGCAAAAACGTTTGCATATAACTATTCAGTTTGTCAGTGCATTGTTCGATTTGTTGAATTAATTTACCTGTACTGAAATGGGGAAATCCCTTTCAAGCTTTGCACACACTACATTGACACTAGACTCAAGTTGATCCAACAAGCTTGGGTCTTGCTCATCATGACACAAATGTGACAGCACATCTAACAGCTCAAACAAGGTCTGTCTTTGGTTCTTCCCAAGCATACCACGAAGGCAGAACTTCAGAATTCCATCTACAGCAATCTAAATATAACAGGCAATACAAGTACAATTTGAGTAAAAGTCTGTTAATATTAAATAAATACACTGTATGAACAGCTTAAACATCAGGCAGCACAGTAAACACTTTTTTCAAACAGAAAAGGTAGGGGTTTCAAAATCGTTTGAAGTAGGCATCAGCAACTGGAAGAGCAGGTGGCTGTGACAAGTAAGGGGCAGCTAGGCAGCATATCAGAAAGCAGACCATAATAACTGGTGACATGTAATCAAGTAAACAGTGGAAATCTGGCACTTGCTGGCTTGTTTTTATACCTGTGAAAGGGCTTTGAAAATGTAGCAAGAAGCCCACAATGTAGACAATATCGTTTTCTTTCGGGCATGTTTTCACTGTGACTCAAGTGGAAACATGTTTCCTTGCAGATAAGAGAGTATAATAAACAATGGTCTCTTTCCACTCCTAACTTGGCCAATTTAAGCACCTAAGCAGGGTTAAATCCTTCACTGTGGGATACATTTTAGACCACACAATATATGTATACCTGCTTCCAATCATGAGATTTTAGATACACTTTCTTGCAAAAGAATGCACTGGGCTTCCAACCATAGCCTTGTGGTACACAGACAGTTAAGGCCCATTTGTCAGCACACCTCATCTCCTCTTTGGACATACGAAATGGTGCATTGGGAAGGACTTCTTCTTTTTTTTGTTTTTTTGGTTTTGAACCAGCTTTAGAAGTTGAAGCAACAGCATTTCCATCTGTAGTTTAAGCAATTACATTCAGAGTGTCAAGTAATAAATACGTATTCATATTTTGCTGTAACTAATTAAGGAGGGCTTCTTGTGATTACAGTTGATGGGGAAACCAAAGCCATGAAAACAATAATATACAATACTCAAGACCTTCTTTCAAATTTATTAACTCCAAGAAATTTAGGGGAATACAGCCCTTTCATAATCTTTGCACTCCCACCTTTTCTTTACACTCCTTTTCAGCAAGCAATTTTTAACTAATGCTGCCATCTGCTAAAAGGTGCAGTGGTCAAATCAGACAAATTGCTTGGTAGATAATCAAGCCCCAACTGTAAAAAGCTAGAACTAACATGCACTTGTAGCATTTTAGCATGAAGACACCTTCTTAAAAAATGTGTCAGTTTTTACCTTCTGTTTGACAGGAATTACAAAATCTGCCAAGTTCTCTTTCAGTAACTCTGACTTTCCTGCTATCCCCTTTCCCAGTTATTAGGTCGAAAAATGTTACAATGACATTCTTCAGGTCGTGCATAAGATCTGGGAATGCCTGGTGCACCCTGTTATGGGTTGGAAGCAGCATGAAACAGTTGACACCTTTGGAGCCTGTC